AGGAGGGACCAGTCACTGGAGAAGGATATCATGTTTGGTAAGGTGGAGGGTCAGAGAAAAAGAGGAAGACCCCCAACGAGATGGATTGGCAAGGCAGCAGCATCAATGGGCTCAAGCATGACAACAATTGTGAGGTTGGCCCAGGACCGGGCAGTGTGTCTTTCTGTTGTACATGGGGTTGCTATGAGTTGGTACTGACTCGATGGCACCTAACAACAACAACAACAACAACAACAACCTTCTTGGAGTCCTGGTGTGGCGCTGTGGGTTAATGTGTCAGACTGCAAAGCCATTTGAACTGCAAGGTCCGTGGTTTAAGCTCACCAGCTGCTCTTTGGAAACCCTATACAGGGTCACTATGGGTCAGCATCGACTCGAGAGCACTTAACAACAACAACAACAATTACTTCTTATCCCTGTCCTCTACTTAATTTTTCTCTATTGTTGTTGTTGCTAAGTGCCATCAAATTGGTTCCAACTCATAGCAACCCTGTATGAAGAGTGGCTGGTGGTTTGAACCACTGACCTTGCGTTCCTTGTATATCTTATAGCACAACACCAGGACTACACTTTCTCTAAGTTGTTGTTCTTGTTTAGCACTATCGAGTTGGTTCCAACTCATAGTGACCCTGTATAGGGTTTCCGAGGAACAGCTGGTGGGTTTGAACAGTCAATCTTGAGGTTCCTCATTATCAACACCCACATCTCTGACTTGTTCATTTTGTTTATTGTTGTGTCCCCTCCCAATAGTAAAGTCCCTGAAGAGAGGATTTTTTTCTGGTTTGTTCCCAGTAAAAAGTATTTCTTGAATGAATGAATGAATGAATGACACAATAGGTGTAGAAGTTTTTAGCCAAGTCCCTAACATATAAAGACTAACAAGTGTTTGTTATTCTAAAAGGACAGAGGGTGGATCAGGATATGTCAATTTCTTTTAATGATAGACAATTTACAAAGGATCAGTGAATGTTTTTTATTTGTCTATATTTTAAGAATGTTTAATTATGTTTATATATATGCATAAATTAACAACGTTAGACATATGCATGAATTAACAACGTTAGACAAACATCAAGCAGGGTAAATGTTTTGCCATATAAGCAATAGAAATGGGCCAGTGTTGCCAAGCCAACTGCCATGGAGTCATAGTGACGCTGTAGGAACTGCCCAAGGGGTTTCCAATGCTGTAATTTTTTATGCAAGCCAACTGCAAGGTCTTGCTCCAGGAAGAGGTTGGTGAGTTAAACCACCGACTGTCTGTTAGAGATTTAATCCCTGCACCACCCGGGCACCCTGCCCTACCCAAAGAGAGCTTCAATTGCTGTCTGCTGCTACAACCAATAATAGTTGCGCTCACCTGGAGTACCACCTTCTCTGCAGCTGTTGATTCTTCTATTTGCAACAAGAGGACTCTTTTTTTTTCTTTTTCCATTAACATTTTCTTTCTTTTTTCCTTTTGAATGTAAAATTGATGTAAAAATAGAAAATTGTAGAAAATTTAAGAAAAGTGTAATTTTTTTTTCCTCTTAAATTACTGTAATCTCACCACCCAGAGAAAATCACAAGCAATTTTAGGCCACAATATTATCTTGACAATTTAAAAATATGCAGATAATTTGCTGTTATTCTGTGTGCTGTTTTTCAGTATACCTTCTAAAATTTTTTGTTGTTGTTAGTGTATATATGGAGTCCTGGTGTGGCGCTGTGGGTTAATGTGCCACACTGCAAAGCCGTTTGAACTGCAAGGTCGGTGGTTCCAGCTCACCAGCTGCTCCTTGGAAACCCTGTACAGGGTCGCTATGGGTCGTAATCGACTTGATGGCACTTAACAAGTGTATATATAAAGCAGAACATGCATTTCAATGACTACAGTCTTTTTCTTTTCCTTTTAAACTCTAAGATTACATAGAAAAACATTAAAGAACAGGACAGCGTCTCTCTTAGTAGTTTGTTGTTTTTAGGTGCCATCTAGGTAGTACCAATTCATAGCAACCCCTCTCTATACGTAACAGAGCAAAACACGGCCCGGGCCTGCACCATATCTTATTTAACCATTTTCATTTATTTTTTTTTCCCAATTTTTCTCAAGTTAAATGATGTACATGGATCTCCGATTACTTTCTCTGAGAACACTCTTAAATTACTGGGGGAGGAAAGAGTGGATTTTCATTTACAATTTAAAAAAAATTACTACGGAAAAGTAAAGCCTTCACGATCTGATCCTACGCCAGAGAAAGCCTAAGGCGACTTTAAACCAACTCAATCGGCGCCCCAAACTCCCTTCAGGTATTACATTTTCAGGCTTTTGGTAATCATCTGCTCTGCAATCTGCAACCACGACTGAGCACAATTGGCCAAACTAGAGCCTAAAAGGAACTTCAGGACACGCCCCCGAAGCACCACCCCTCTTTAAATTTTAAAACGAAGGTTCAGGCCAATGAATACTCAGCGCCTCGCCCATCGTCCCGCCTTCCACCAATCATACTAAGGTGTTTCCCACAGCCTTTCCAATCAGCGCCTCGAGTGTAAGTGACTTACGTACTTACGTAAGGCAAGCGACCAATAGAAGCTGAGCTTACTTCACCAATGGCAGCGGCTCCTGAAGAGCGCGGGAGGCTTTCGACCTAGGGCTCTTGAGAGAAGCTGTGAATGGCGCTGGTTCCCTAAAGCAAGGGTCTAGGCCAGAGCGCCGCGGTTTGCTGCCGGAGCTCCGGCGCAGCGACGCGGCAGGGATGGCGTGCTGTCACAAGGTGATGATGCTGGTGGACACCGCGGGTGGCGCCGCTCGCCAGAGCCCGGTCCGGCGGGCCGCCCTGCGCCTCCTCACTTACCTGAGTTGCCGATTCGGCCTAGGAAGGGTACACTGGGCCTTCAAGTTCTTTGACTCGCAGGGGGCGCGCAGCCGGCCCTCCCGCGGGTCTGACTTCCGCGAGCTGGGGGCCCGCTCCTGGGAGGACTTCGAAGAGGAGCTGGAGGCCAGGCTCGGGGACCTGGCCCATGGGGCTCACCTGCCGGGCCCGGCGCCCAGGGCCACCCTGACGCACAGCGCCCTGATGGAGACGCTGTTGGACTACCAGTGGGACCGGCCCGAGATCACGTCTCCTACCAAGCCGTTCCTGCGGAGCCGCGGGAGGAGGCTGCTGGACGTGGAGAGCGAGGCCAAGGAAGCCGAAAGTGCGCTGGGCGGCGGCTTTGTGAACGCCGTCTTCCTCCTGGCCCCCTGTCCGCGCTCGCACCGGGAGCTGCTGCAGTTCCTGGCGGGGTGCGAGGCCCAGGCCCAGACCCAGCCGCTGCCACCCACTCCCAAGCAGGTGATGGAGAAGCTGCTGCCCAAGAGAGTCCAGGAAGTCATGATCGCCCGAAAGATCACCTTGTACTGGGTGGACACCATCGAATTGGCTAAGGTAAGATGACAGCCATCGCCGGTTCGGCGCGGCGCCTCCCGTGCTCAACCGGAACTCGGTGCCGTCTGCTCCTAACAGAACCAGGATGATACCAGTATGCCCAGCTCGTGGGTCCCCGCCCCGTGATCTCAAACAGGAGCAGTGCTCACGACAGAACCTACTAGGTACGAGCTTTTCAACCCCTCACCACTGGGTCCTCGTCCCTTCCCAGACCCGAGCCGCCTGTATTCAAGCGGGGTCCTCCCACCGCTTGTCTGTCTTCGCTTGTGCCCCTTAGTCGGCCTGGAATGTCATGCTCAACCCCACTCAGCCTTTAACATGCGGCCCAAGTGACAGTGAAGATCAGCCCCTGAATTTCAGGCATTTTCTGGGGTCCTTACTGAACCTCGGGAGCCCTGGTGTGGTGCTGCGGGTTAGTGCGCTGGACGGCAAAGTCAGTTTTAACCATGAGGCCGGCGGTTCAAGCTCACCTGGAATCCCTGTACTCGACGGTACTCAACAACAGCGGAATCCTGGTGATGCCGTGAGTTAAGCATCGGTTTCAGTGGATCGAACCCACCAGCCTCTCTGCTTGGAAAAGATGAGGCCGTCTGCTCCCGTAAAGATTTATGGTCTCGGAAACCCTATGGGGACAGTTCCACTCTGCCTTACAGGGTCGTTGTGAGTCCAAATCAACTAGATAGCACCGTTGTGCGCATCTCCCAACCTTCTTCCGATTAATCAGAAATTACCTCAAAGGCAAGCACCAGGTCTTCCACATCTTTGTGTCCCCCCACAGATGTATATGGAGCATCGTAGGTGTCCAGTAAAGAAACCCACCCAAGCCCATTGCCGTCAAGTAGATTCCGATGTATAATGGTCCAGTAGGACAGTTGTCTGGCGTGGGTTAATGCGCTGGACTGAAAAGTCGGTGTGACCCACATGGTTCTAGCTCACCCACTGTTCCTGAAAACCCCAATACAAGGGTCGCTATGGGTCGGAACCGACTTAACAGCACTTAACCACAATAGGACAGTTGTGTGCCATCCAATGGGTTCCAACCCATAGCGACCCTGTATAGGATTTCTGAGGCTGTAAATCTTTACGAAAGCAGAAAGCCTCATCTTTCTCCCGCAGAGCCGCTGGTAGTTTCGAACTGCCGACTGTGTGATTAGCAGTCCAACTTGTAACCACTAGATTACCAGAGTTACTTATATTGGGTGGTGGTGGTGGTGTTATGTGCCGTGGAGTCGGTTCCGACTCATACTGTACAGGGTTTCTGAGGCTGTAAATCTTTACGGGACCAGAAAGCCTCATCTTTCGCCCACGGAACCAGCTGGTAGTTTCGAACTGCTGACCCTGAGGTTCGCAGGCTGATTCGTAACCACTATGCTAAGAGAGCTCCTTACATTGGGTGTTAGGGAAGGCCTTTTTGAGCAGAGAATTGAATGATAAAAGCGGAATGTGAAGGTTGGGGAAGAATAGTCCAGGCAAAGAAATGAGCAGGTGTATAGGTTTTAGCTGGAACTAAGCATAGTTTCAGACGCAGAAAGACAAGGAATGCTGAGGCCTAGTAAACCAGGTGAAAGTTGTGTGAGAGGAAGTCAAAAAGCTGGATGAGCCAATCTGTAGAGCAAGGTTGTTACGGGCCATGGAGTCAGTTCTGACTCATAGTGACCATGTATAGGGTTTCTGAGGAGTGACTAGTGGGTTTGAACTGCTGACCTTGCTGTTAGCAGTCCAGTGCTTATCCTACAGTTGTTGTTAAATGCCATTGAGTTGGTTCCAACTCATAGCATCCCTGTATAGGGTTTCCAAGAAGCAGCTGGTGGATTTAAACCGCTGGTCTTGCGATTAGCAGTCCAGTTCTTATCCTATAACACCACACCAGAACGCCAGTTGTTGGTAAGTTCTGGCAATCGGTTCTGGCTCAGCAACTGTATAGGAGCTGGGGGGAGGTTAAACCGCCAACCTTAAAGTTAACAGTCCAGTGCTTGTCTGACAACACCACACTAGGACTCCAGTGTTGTTGATGTTAAGTGCCATTGAGTTGGTTCTGACTCATAGTGACTATGTTTAGGGTTTCCAATGAACAGCTGGTACGTTTGAATCGCCTACCTTGCAGTCCAGTGCTTACTCTACAGCTCTACATCAGGACTCCATAGACCTTCAGTAGCAGTATGGATTTTGCTGTACTTGCAATTACAATAACTTTGGAGGGTTAAATCAGATAAAAGATGTGATTGCACTTTCTGGAGTGCAGCACCCCCACACAAGTGCAAAATGAAGGAATAGTGGTTTGTCAAAGAAGAAAGAGCAAAAAGTGTTAAAGGGGATGGTAAGCAGTGGGACTCCTGGTGTGGCACTGTAGGAAAAACATTGGACTACAAATCACAATGTCACCAGTTCAAACCCACAAGCTACTCCCCGGAAACCCTATACAGTGTTGCATTGAGTCAGAATAGACTCAACAGCACTTAAACAACAACAACAACAAATACAGGAACATGACATTCTAGAAATTAACATTTTTTAGGGCAGCAAATCACATATTGGACAGCATAGCATAACACTTAAAGTGCTCATTTTGGGATAATTGTTAACAAATCATGTCAAAGTCTACATTCTGAAATTGTACTATATTAACTCTGACTAGGAATAAGTGGTATCAGGCGGGGTCTGGATAAGCTTTTCCTTTCTTGTCAATTAGTATTAAAATAACTGAGTTGACTGGGTCATTTTAAAGATCTAGTTCTGACATCTGATCGTCTGAGGGGATGGATTTCTTCTGAAGCTTCCTGCCTCACCCACTATGCTGTTTCCCCTAAGAAAATGCCACTCAGACAATGTTAAGCTTCTCTAGAATGGTTTTTTTCTGGTTGGAATCCACCTTTTTTTCTATTCCAAAGCTCTGGCTAGCTACAGAAAACAACAGGGAGACAGGCTGTGTCCATCGAGGATCTCTCCAGAGATGGGGAGCAGAAGAGACGATCTATTCCTGCCTTGCAGATCTCAGGATGGAAACAAGTGGACTCACAGATGCCAGAGAAGTAGCCAAACAAACGAAAGAAACATTTCAAAGATAAAGGATAAAATGGAGGGTAGAAGACCCTTGACACATTTATTCAACACATTTTTATTACAGACCTGCTACAAGTAGATCCCTGATGTGGTGCTGTAAGATAAGCACTGAGTTGCTAACGAAAGGTTGGTGGTTCAAACCCACCAGCCGCTCCTTGGAAACCTTATACAGAGTCACTAGGAATTGGAACTGACTCAAGGGCACTTAATAACAGGTGGTGGGTGTCCTATTAGTGATCCAAACAGATGTGGTCTTGGTATGGCGCTGTAGGATAGGCACAGGACTGCTAACCGCAAGGTCAGTACTTCAAACTTACCAGCTGTTCCTAGCAGATTCTATACAGCATTGCTGTGAGTCAAAACCACCTCAGTGGCACATATATGCACACACGTATATACATACTTACTTACTCTTGGATTTTTAAAAATCATGTGCATGTATCACTTTTTAATCAGAAGTTTATTCCTTTTTTTGGTAAGGTGACTTTTTTATTGTATCCTCTGCAAGGATAGAAGGAAATATGGTCCATGTAATCAAAATGTGGTTAACATAGGATTTTGGAATTCACCTAATGTAGACTCCATTTTTTATTTGACAATGTAATATTGTCAAGATATTATAGTAAGAAATTTCAGTCATTAACTGTGTTAGCAGTTTTCTTGTCTTAAATATGAGTGTATTACATTCATTGTCCATTACAGCAACTCTCCCATCTGTATAATACTTGAATGCCGAATGATAATGGGAAAATACAGCACTTAGCAACAACATGGGTGCTGGGTATATTGTTGGTGATCAAACAGATGCAGTCTTACCTTGTGGAACTTATATGTCTAAATCTGAAAATATCAATCATGTCATGCCATTTACTATGTGATATGCATAAAAGTGGAAAATGTAGTAATTTATTCTTTATATATGTGTACATGTGTGTATACACAGATGAGTGCTTAATCATTGCACCACCACGGGTCCTTAATCAAAACTTGTTATGTGCCATTGAGCCAGTTCTGCCTCATAGTGACCCTGTGTAGGGTTTCTCAGGAGTAGTTGGTAGGTTTGAATTTCCAACCTTGTGGTTTGCAGTCCAGTGCTGATCCTACAGTGCCACATCAGGAGTCCTAATGAAAACTGTTGTTATAAAGTTGCTGTCAAGTCAGTTCCGACCCATAGCGACCCTGTATAGCGTTTCCGAGGAGCAGCTGGTGAGCTTGAACTGCTGACTTTGCAGTTCAATCTGACTTTGCAGTCCAGTGTATTAACCCACAGCTCCACACAAGGACTCCAGTGAAAGCTAGATGTTGGGAAATAAAACTATGATCAAAGTCCTTGAGATCAAGGAGTTGTTAGTTGAGACAATCAGAAAGTAAAAATTACAGTTCTATAAACAGTACTTGAACAGAACAAGGGGGCATGGAATGGCTTAAAATTAGGAAATGCGTGTGCCAGGATTGTATTATCTTACCATACTTATTCAGTTCAAGCTCACCAGCTGCTCCTCGGAAACCCTATACAGGGTCCCTATGGGTCGGAACTAACTCGACGGCCTTAACAACAACAACAAAAAATTCAATATAAAGAAAACAAAAATCCTCACAACTGGGCCAATAAATAATATCATGATAAATGGAGAAAAGATTGAAGTTGTCAAAGATTTCATTTTATCGGGATCCACTATCAACACTCATGGAAGCAGCAGTAAATTGGCACCAGACATTTATCTTGAAATGTACTTGACTTCCTTGCTAGTTGGAAGTTCTGTATGTTTGCTATTTCCTGTTTTTGCTTTGTAGTTGACTTCATTGTAAATTGATAACTCTGGTTCCCTATCTTATTTACTTTAAATATCTGGATTGAGGTCTGGGTGTTGTTGTCATGTGTGGTCATCTCAGGTTGTTGTCTGCTGTTGTTGGTTCTCAGTCCAAAGAAAACCCTTTAGCATTTTTTATAAAGTTGGTCTGGTTATTACAGATTTCTTTAATTTCTATTTATCAGGAAACATTTTAATTTTGCTGTAGTGTTTGAGGGTCAGATTTGCTGGGTGTGTAGAGTTTTGTATATGTCATCCCATTGCCTTCTTGCCTGCATGGTTTCTGCCGAGAAATCAGCTTGGTCTTATTGGTTCTCCTTTGTAGGTAACTTTTTGTTTTTCCCAAATTGCTCTCAGGATTCTTTCCCTGCCTTTGGTTTTAGAAAGATGTCTTGGAGATTTCCTTTAAAGATCAGTCCTGTTTGGGGTTTATATACCTGTTTGGGGTTTATATACTAATACTTCTTGTATGCTTATCTTCTCATCTTTCATGGTATTAGGGGAATTTCATCCCAACGGCATCTCTTCCAGCCACAGGGCAGCTGTGACTGGTTAAATGCTGGTGTTGCCAAAACTGCTCACCAAGGCTCAGGATGGTTGTGCCTCCTCTGGCCCGCTGTTTGCCAGTCAGTCTCCCTCCCTGCCGGGTCTATTCAGCGTCTCCTCCCAGCAAACACTCAATCCATTTCCTTAACCTTTTTCCTGAAGTTCAGGGGTCCTAGATTTTCATCTGTGTCTGTTTTATTTGGTCTCTCCTATCTTTGCTGTCATAGTGCTGCGGACTAATGCGCTGGAATGCAAAGTTGGTTTGAACTACAAGGTTGGCAGTTCATGCTCACCAGCCACTCCTCGGGAACCCTATACAGGTCACGATGAGTCAGAACTGACTCGAGGCACTTAACAACAACATCATCATTGTTGTGACACTGTAGGAAAAGTACTGGACCGCAAGGTCAGTTTGAACCACAAGGTTGGCTGTTCAAGCTCGCCAGCCACTCCTTGCAAACCCTATATAGGGTCACTATGAGTCCAAACTGACTCAACAGCGCTTAGCAACAACTATCTTTGTTGTAGAGTCCATGTAATACGTCTGCCTAGTCCGTCATCTTACTGGAAGTCATCCTCCCTTTTATAATTCTTAAGATTTTGCTTCTTATTAAATAGCACTTTTCCCCCTGCCTGCCTCATTCTCTTGCTGAAACCATTTTAACAACCAATTTTGTTGGTTTGTTTCCCTTTGGCATCTGAACCAACTTGCCTTTGTCCCACAACGCCTTCAGCAGACACCTGATACTGAGTAATGACATTGGTGGTGTGTCACGGAGTCGGTTCCAACTCACAGCGACCCTGGACAGAGGCTCCGAGGCTGTAAATCTTTACTGGAGCAGAACGCCTCATCTTTCTCCCACAGGGCAACTGGTAGATTTGAACTGCTGACCTGGGGTTAGCAGCCCAACTCATAACCCACTAGGCTATCAGGGCTTTTTGAGCAGCCACAAACGACAGTAAAAAAGATCATGCAATGACTGACTGTAAGCACTGTCGCTAGCTCCTTATTGTCATTGAGTGTGGCTTTTTATTGTCATCTGATATTTTCTATTTTGTTCTTTTTTTTTTTTTAATGCTGATCATGAATCACTCAGTTAATTTCACAACCCATCAAAGGGTCACGACCCACAACCTAAAAGCATTAAACAAGACAGTCCTGGGTTCTTTGACTGCTCTACCATTGCCTTGCTAATGTTGTTGTTGTTGTTTAGTGCCGTAAATCAGTTCTGACCCATAGTGACCTGTATAGGGTTTCTGAGGAGTGCTGGTGAGTTTGAACTGCTGACCTTGTGGTTCAAATCAAATACGCAGTCCAGCTATTAACCCACAGTGCCACATCAGGAGCCCTTCTTGCTATGATCTTGGGAAATTCCCTATTTCTCTTTGAACTTGAATATTATAGAAAGTTTGGAGGATGACCAAAATGTCCTTGAAGACTCTCCTAATTCTAATCCCACACATGTACACAGCAATTTAATACTTTAGAATTGTTTACTCATCCATCGATTAGGCAAACCAGCATGATAATATTTTAGGATAGGTGCTTCTCTATATTCTCATAGTACTGATTATTGTCATGTTATATTGTGATGCTATGATCAGTATTTCATTTTATTGAATTTTATAATAGACTCCACCCACCGCCTCCCTTCCCTGGAGTCAAAGACCCTGGAAGACAGGGAGTGTGTGGCAGATAGAAATTGCTCAATAAAAATGTGTTGAAGAGCCAGCTATGTAGGGGGAAGTGAGAAATGGCTTTTACAGAAAAAAATAGAATAAAGGGGAAGGCTCAAGAAACAGCAAAAAAAAAAAAAAGGCAACATTAGAACACATGGTTCTGTATGCCTAGAAGGCAGGGAAACAGAAGTTACTGAATGTGCTTGCACAGATTGTTGTAAGACCAGTCTGTGAAGTGCTTTATGGTTTTGCTAGAGAGTCACTTTGTCCCTAACACAGTGGGAAGCCACTGCAAGGTTACAGGACAAGAGGTGACTCAATCAGTGTCCTAGTATCTAGTACTGTGACATCAGAAATACTACAGTGGATGACCTTAACACATTTACTGTCACTATTTAGGAGGCGGGAAAAACAGTGTGAACTTAGAGGGCCAGCTCTAGGGGAAGCTTTCTCTCTCTGTGGACTCTGGAGGAAGATGCTTGTCTCCTTTCAGCATCTGTGGGCCCAGCATTCCTTAGGATTTTACATGCGTCTTGACATCAGTTTTCTCCACTGTCTAGGAGGTTCCCGACATCTGTCTGCTCCTGGCTATTTTTTCTTTGTGGTAGTCAGATCCCTCATTCTCCCAGCTCCCATCCTTCTCCTTTTATCTCTGGTAAAGTGATGCAGGCCATTCCTAGGGAAACTGCCATTACTTCTGCTCAGGGCTTTGATCTGAGTATTACATCAGACCACATCATATGGGGGTGGCTACCAAACCACTGAGAATCATGGCTCACCCAAATTGACACACATTTTGGGGGGTCACAGTTCAATCCATGACAATCAGATAGGTAATTTGTAATGTAGAACAGTATGTAGAAAAGATTAGAAGCAGGGCACAGAATTTAGAGACCACTGCAAGAGGTCAGGTAAAAGATGAGGAAGAGGGCTTTAATAAAAGATGAAGCTAGAAGGGAGAAGAGTAGTTTGGTCCCTCCAACAGACCTATGCAGTGGGTAAGTCAGAAAGAAGTTGCTGTCTAGGGAAGAGCTCACTGCCATGACACCTGCCTGTTGTTTTGTTATAACTAACATAGTTGTCTGTATTAATGAATAATGTATGATAGCATTCCTTGGTACACTAACATTTTATGATTTATCCTCAGAGATTTGCATCATTTTTGTTCCGTGACATAAAATATAAATGAAGTGTTATTTTCATTAAAGGGGTGCTTTCTTAGAGGCATACTATGTAATAAATAATATTCTTGGGATATGCAATTACTAGATGCTGACCATTATTTGCATGTGGTTCAAAAATACTTTAATTGTATAACTTGATCTTTTATTGTAAATATCAGTTGTACTCTTTCCTGGTTCTACCTATTTATGAATTACCTAATTTGCAGTAACCTAAAGTTCTGTCATTTTTATTTTAGTTGTGGGAGTCTCCAGACCACGTTGGGTTCCAGACAGTGTGTGAAATTCTCCACAATGTTGGAGGTACTGTCTTGCCATTGGAAACATTCAGCCAGGATTTCCCTAAAGCTGGGCGAACACAGCTCAGCGGTGACATCAAGCTCTCAAATGAACATCAACTCTCTCCGTGGACTTCAACTTTACCAACAGATTCCACTTTAAACCGTTTGCTTTACAACTCTCGGGAATATGGAGCATCATTTCCACAGATAGAAGGAACACTACTTCTCCCCATTAAAGGTAAGCAAATGAGATTGGAAGGATTGTTTGGTTTCAGCTAGATTAGCTTCTTCAAGGCAGGTCTGTGCATTTAACTTCTTTACAATTTCCAGCTGCGTATGCATTCAAATAACACATGTAATTAGAAGAATTAAAATACGTCTAAGCAGAATCGGAAGGAGCTCTGGTAGCATAGTGGTTACGAATCGGGCTACTAACCTCAAGTTTGGGAGTTCAAAACTACCAGCTGTTCCGCAGGAGAAAGATGAGACTTTCTGCTCCAGTAACAATTTGCAGCCTCGGAAAGCCTGTGCGAGGTCACTATTAGTCGGAACCCACTCCATGGTACTTAACAACAACAACAACAAGAAGAAGGAGAATCGGAGATAGAGGAAGGATTGAATATGGCCAGCCCCCATATAAGAAGAACGTGTGAATGATTTTATTCAGGTGCTGTGGCAAATGGGTGTAAGGATTCATTGCTTTCTTCATAGAAGAACTTGGTAAACTGAAGGCCATAGAGAAACAATGACTAAGAAATTGGTCTCCAGAAACTAAAATGATGCCAGTTACTTGAAAGAGCCTAGTAACCAACACGTTACAAATTCATAAATTTGTTGTTCTGTGTGATTTATTAAAAGGTGAATCCTGTTTCTGAATATAGTTTCTATTCAAAGAGAAATAATACTCTATAGAGTCCTGGTGTAGCGCTGTGGGTTAATGCGCCAGACTGCAAAGCCTTTTGAACTACAAGGTCAGTGGTTCAAGCTCACCAGTCGCTCCTTGGAAACCCTATACAGGGTCGCTATGAGTCGGAACCGACTCGACAGCACTTAAGAACAGCAGCAAAGGGCATATATGTAAAACTGTCTTACACATTATTTAAGGAATCTTCCAGAGTAATTTTGTGTAAGTAATTTTTACCATTCGTTGCTTTTAGAAGTTAACTTCTTCATAAGATATGCTGCACTGTATTTTGTGGATTTCTAAGTTGTTAGTATTGCGTTCTAACACTAAGCTGTACCTTTGTATGTCCTTTCTGTATACAGCTTTTCCTGTAGAACTGTATGAACCTGCTGTGTTAGCCTATTGACAGTAAAATAAGGTCTGGCCTATGAGCTAAATGACAGGACCTGTAACTAACTAACAAATTGACTTTTTTTAAGCTCTGGTGGTGCTGTAGGATAAGCACTGGACTGCTAATTGCAAAGTCGACAGTTCAAACCCACCCACTTCTCAGTGAGAGAAAGTTGAAACTTTCTGTTCTGTAAAGATTTTCAGTCTTGGCAATCTTACATAGGCTCACTAGGAGTCAGAATCAACTCTCTGGCAGTGTGTGCTTCTTATGTTATGAGGCATTGGTGGTTCCATGATAGAATCCTTACCTTCCATGTGGGAGACTGGGGTTCCATTCCAGCCAGTGCAACTCCTCTGTACCTACCACCCGTCTTGTTAGTGGAAGCTAATATGCAACTGTGATGCTGAACAGATTTCAGCACATTTCCTAGATTTGAATCTTAATAATTTTATCTCTTAACAGGCAAAGAGAATCAAGAAACATGTGCAGTCACTCTAGAGCCCTTGACCGTGCATCAGAGCCATTTTCAGAAACCAGTCAGAATTGTTCTCAAAGGCACAGTTGCCCAATGGGCTTTCCCAATGAGTGGTGTTTTGGGAACTGATAGCTGGATGCTACAGAGTCCAATAGATGGCAGATCAAGTGAAAGAGTGTTATTTCAGCAGCTGGCAAGGAAGCTGATTGCTGAAGAGCTACATCTGGTAGGTGTCTGCCACATAGTAAGTTATTTTTCTCTAGTAACTCACTAGTAAAGTGAAGTAATAAGTGGATTTGCAAAATGCCAAGGAGTGCTGGGGTCTTGTTTTCCTAGTGCTGCTGTAACAGAAATCCCACAGTGATTGCCTGAAAGAGCAGGCGTCTCCTTTAACACGGTCTAGAGACTAAGTCTGGGTCTCAGCTATGCTGAGTCTTCTGTGAACCTCTCTCCTAGTTTCTGGTGTCTGTTGGAAATCCTTGGCATTCCTTTGCTTATAGACAGCTTACATGTCAGCTGTCTTCCCCTGTGTGTATCTCTATATCTGTTCGGGTCCTTGTTAACTCGGAAATTAACAGGTTTAGGACCCACCTTATGTTGGTATGACTTCATTAACATAACAAAAGTAAAATCCTGTTTTCAAACAAGATCAAGTCTTCCAGGTACAGGGGTTAGGAATTCAACACATTTTGGGGGCATGCAATATGATCCATAACAGCACTTCATAATATAGTCTCAGTGAAACTGATAATGTTTTTGCAAATAATAATACTATAATATATAGTCTCCTGACCAAAAATGCTTACTAATAAAGAAAGCATTTGTAAACTTGCATGTACTCTGAATATAATTACATTAAATTACATGCACATAACAAAAACAGTCACATTGAATGGTTGTATTAGGGTGGTGAAGTCATTGGTGATTTCTTGCTACTTTTTAACTGTTCTTTTATGTATTTACTACTTCTATAATAAGTACATTTCATTTAAGGAAAAGCTATGACATAAAATTAGGTATACTAGTATCTAGTAGTTACAAAGCAGCCCTGGTAGTGTAGTGGGTAGTGTTGTGCTGCTAACTAACCACAGACAAAGTCAGCAGTTTGAGTCCACCAGCTGGTCCTCGAGAGAAAGATGAGGCTTTCTGTTCCTGTAAAGGTTTACAGCCTCGGAAACCCTGCATTGCGTGGCTATGAGTTGGAACCAATTCAACGTTATGCCACCACCAATATTTGCATAAACTTAGAAATGTCTTCTGAAAAGGAACCCATACATACACATTTGATTTCAAGATGGTGGTTCTTTTTAAACTACCAGCTAATTCCTTACCTTGGTTTGTCTCTTGCCTTCGTAATCTCAGTTTTTGAGTCTCTACCCTGGGTCCCACTGTAAAGTACTCTAGAGAAAAGCTGGCTATTTATCTGAACAGATGTTATCAGAGTTGTGAGCTGCGATAGAAGGAGCATGGCTTAGGGGTCAGGATGCCTAATGAGGGTCTTGGCTCTGCTACCCACTGTGTCATCTTGGTTAAATCACTTGGGGTTGTACTGCTGGCTTCCTGGTTAAGAGAGAGCATGAACTCTGAAGTCAAGACACACTTGATCCCTGCCCTTTACTATCTGAGTCATCTTAAACAAGTTACCGTATTTACCAACCTCAGTTCCTCCTCTATAAACAAGTTACCGTATTTACCAACCTCAGTTCCTCCTCTATAAAAAGGACATAATTCATCATTCTTTTAATCTCAGAGTAATCATGAGGATTCAGTGGATTATAACAAGCAAATAGTGACTGTTTAGTAAATATTCCTGGTAACCTTAGATTTTTCTTAATTGTAAATTAAGGAAATAGAGCTATATGATTGGTAACCCCTCTTGTATTCCTAAGAATTGCCAAGTTTCTCTTTTCAGGTTTTCTCTTTTTCATACTAATAATCACTGGGGAAAGGATCAGTCTGTCTTTTACTGAGCGACATTTTATATTAGTCATATTGATAACAGTATTCTCAACTAATAAAAATGCCTTACTTAGGTTGCCAGTGTGGATCCTGGTGAAGGATGGCCCCCTATCACTGGAGTTATTTCCCCCCTCTCTGCCAGTGCTACAACCCTCACTGTGTTCCGCACTGAGGACGCTGAATTTCAAAGACATTTTCTCCAAAGGATTGTGGCAGAGAGCCCTCGGGACACAGCTCCCCTTTTGTCCGATATCACAAATGATGTAATGAAGCAGATTCAGAATTCACTCAAAGATCCTGCCTCTCCTGGTAAGCATCCCATAGCTATCAGCGCCAAGGCCAGCGGCTTACAGTCTTCCCAGCATCAGAACTTATTTTATCACATTGTGCTATGTAGTGGAATTTCAGTACTTTGTAAAATAGATAAAAGCAAGCTACAGTACTTTATAGTCAGTTGAAGTCATTGTTTATAGAAATCCTGAAGCACTTTTGGAGTCCTGTTCAGTGCTGTAGGATAAGCACTGGACTGCGGACTGCCAGGTTGGTGGTTCAAACCCACTACCTGCTCCTCGGAAACCTTGTACAGGGGCACTATGAGTCAGAACTGACTCAATGGCACTTAACAATAACAAGGCTCTTCAAAACCAAAGCTGAAAAGATAAATCTAATATTAAATGTATATACTTTTTAAAGGGGGTGGAAGGGGTTCCTGGTGACATAATGAGTTAAGCACTGGGATGTTAACTAACCACAAGGGCAGGGGTTCAAACCCACCAGCTGCTCTGAGGGAGAAAAAGGGCAGATTTTATGCTCCTGTAAAGATTTACAGCCTCAGACACCCTCGGGAGCAGTTCTACTCTGCCCTGGAGAGTCTCTTGAGACAGAACTGACTTAACAGTGGCGGGGGTGGGCAAGTAAATGGAGAGGCCCTGGTGGCACAATGGTACCGTGGTACCCACCAGCAACTCCAGGAGAGAAAGATGTAGCCGTCTACTTCCGTAAAGATTGCAGCCTGTTAAACTCTGAGCCAGCTCTCCCTTGCCCTGTGCAGGGCTAGGAAACTTTTTTTGTGCCAATAAGGTGTATAGGACTCAACAACTAAAGTTAGTGCTCTTTGGAGTCTTGGTGTAATGCTGTAGAGTAAGCACAGGACTGTAAGTTTGTTTGAACTGCAAGCTCAGCAGTTCAAACTCACCAACTGCTCCTTGGAAACCCTATAGAGGGTCGCTATGAATCAGAACTGACTTGGTGGCACTTAACAGCAGTATGTTTCTAGTAATTTGTCCATTTCATCTAGGCTATCCAGCTTGTTGCCATATAGTTGTCCATAATATTCTGTCATGACTCTGTGTGTGTCTGTCAGGTCACTTGTAATGTGTGTTGTCCTTATACTAAAGCTACTGGTGTGGCGCTGCGGGATAAAGCACTGGACCACAAGGTCAATTTGAACTACAAGTTTGGTGGTTCAAACTCACCAGCCACTCCTTGGAAACCCTATACAGGGTTGCTATGAGTTGGAACTGACTGGAGGGCACTTAACAGCTACAACAACAAAGCTACTTTTGGACTTCTGGTTTGGTACTGTAGGATCAGCACTGAACTGTGAACCATAAGGTTGGCAGTTCAAACCCAGCAGCTGTTCTTCAGAAACCCTCTATAGGGTCGCTATGAGTCAGAACTGACTTGACAGCAATTAACAGCAACAACAAAGTTCTTTTAAGGGGTACATTTTTAAGGATAAGAAAACAACATATTTTTATAACCTAATTAGAAGGCAATTTCAGATGTAAGATGACGGGATATGTTGCCAGTAGCAAGAACAAAGACTTTAAACGTGTTTGTACATTCTCCATATGTAACATGGACTTTTGGTGGTGGTGTAGATAGATCTCCTTTAGAGAAATGTAGTCAGCCCAGGGGTGGAGCAGGTGTGTGGAATGCTCACGTTTGGTCCTGATGCCTCTTCCCTGCAGTGCCTGTTCCAGAGTGGGCCCAGCAGGAGCTTGGCCGCACCGTTCCCTGGAGCGCAGCTGTGCTGGACAAGTGGTTTCCTTTCTCTAACTTCAGTGGTGCAAGCTCCAATTTAATGGAATCGTTCTGGTAAAAAAAATTATTATTTCTCTGCATATTAGTTATTATAATCAACTTTCAACTGACTGCATATTTTAAAAATAAACCACATACTCAAAGTACAGTCCAAGAATACTTTATGTTATGTGTCATTGAGTTCAAATTAGAAGTGGCAAGGTATCAAATGGCATAGTGGCAGTGTCTGAGTTCCTCTTAACTTCACCAGGGGGGAAAGAATCATCATTCCCATGAGGCAAGGGTCAGAGGTGCCTCCACCTGTTCACCAGTCTGACACCAACTGCCCCTCCATGGTGCTCTCTAATTTGCTGGGTCCAATAATCCATTGCGGTGGTCACTCTGTACTCACACAGACTCATAACTGTGGGGTTTACAGTCCCAGATGAGAAACGCTCAGGATACAGTTCTTTACTCAGGACAGCTTCTTACCCATGCCCACAGGCACACGTCTCTCCAGCCCTAGGTCACAAATTGCAATCCCTTGACCTCTGCCAGTCTCTGGCAAGTATTGTAAAGCTTGTTTAGCTCTTGGCCTCCCAGGCCCTTTCCCCATTGGTCTAGCCTCTGCTCGAATCAGGCAAGTATTACAGAGCTATTTTTGGTCTACCAGTTATATACTCAAAGGTACCACACTCCTGCCTGAAGACACTCAGGCCATCCACACGGTTATTGCGCCTTCAGCCCGTTGCTGCTGCCACAGTGCCAATCCATCTCCTTGGGGGTCTTCTCTTTTTCGCTGACCCTCCACATTACCAAGCATGATGTTCTTCCCCAGGGACTGATTGGTCCCTCCTAATGTGTCTGAAGTATGAGAAATGAAGTCACGTCATCCTGGCTTCTAAGGAGCATTCTGGCTGTACTTCTTTCAACACAGAGTTGTTTGTTCTTGTGTAAGTCCCTGGGACTTTGAATATTCTCCAGCACCATTAACACAAATGCATCAATTCTTCGGTGGTCTTCCTTACTCATTGTCCAACTTTCACATACATATGAGATTACTGAAAATACCATGGCTTAGGTCAGGTGCACCTTAGTTCTCAAGCTGACATCTTTGCTCTTGAACACTGGCTTCATATTAGACATATTGATGTGTTCACAGGTTACTACAAGCTGCCTCAGCTAATAAGGAAAAGTCTTGCAAAACTGAAAATGAGTTAACACGGTGCCTCTCTGAGTTCTACCAGAGAAAATTTCGAGAAGAATCCGCAGCAGCTAGTCAGGAAGACAGCAAAAGAAAACGTATGTGCACAGAAGGGCTGCCTTTTTTTTTTTTTTTTGGCACTGTCCTTTTAAAATTTTTAACACATTACATTTTTCTGAAATGAAATGAATTTGAAATGGTAACTGAATAAAGGAGGGTGAATTCTCGTATTTCAAATATTGGTGAGAAATCACCCATTATCCTGCTGTCCTTACTGACTGAACCATTTTTATTGAAGTCAACTTTATGTTTAATGTCTAAATATTCGCTTATCTGCTACCTTGCCTTGTTTTTATCATTCTATCTCATTGCTTAACAAATTGTATAAAATCTCAAGTTGTGGGATATTTTTCCCCCCTGAATTGTCTTCTTTAGAATTGTGTGACCATTGTTGTTGTTGTTGTTAAGTGCCTTCGAGTCGGTTCCGACCCATAGCGACCCTGTACAGGGTTTCCGAGGATGTAAATCCTTACGGGAATAGAAAGCCTCATCTTTCTCCCGCGGAGCGGCTGGTAGTTTCGAACTGCTGGCCTTATGGTTCGCAGCCCGATTCGTAACCATCAAAACGAGTCTGTTTTGAATTTGTATTACATAAAAATCATTTCACTTTGTTAAAATGTCTACTACCTAACTTCACTTAAAAATGTTGCTTGGGTAGAAAGAGATACAGGAACTACCTAATTCAGATCAAGCCGAAGGAATGTCATTTCACTATACTTTCACAGTAACTAATCTGAATTAAAGTAGTTCTTGAGTCCGTAGAAGTGAAGGTTGTGTTACCTTTCTTTCCATAATGTCATTTTGGTAGGGGGTGTTCCTCGTACTCCTGTGAGGCAGAAGATGAACACCATGTGCCGTTCCTTAAAGATGTTGAATGTTGCAAGGTTCAACGTAAAAGCTCAGAAGTTGCAGCCAGATGGCAGTCCAGACATGGCTGGAGAGAAAGGGAGCCAGAAGACAGCTGGTGGAAGAACAGCAGATAAACTGGAAGACAGAGGAAGAACATTAAGAAGTTCTAAACTTAAAGGTATGCCTTCCTTCATTGCCTAAGTGTGTTAAGGGGAATGCAGTAAATAATGAGATTTTATCTTATTCTTAGGTTATGACCTTGCCACAAAGATGAAACTAAGTATTTTAGGATTCCCAAGCGTTTAAGACAAAATACATGCTTATTGGGGAAGAAAAGGCAAGTCAGTCTTGGTCTTGAATAGGCTGAGAAGACTTCAGAGGAGCCTGTGGCTCCCTGGTTAGACTTTGAAGAGTGAGCCAGAGTTAGCTGGTCAGAGAGTAAAGGAAGAATGTTCCAGGTGGGAGATTCGTGTCAGTAAAGCCACCATGAAGAAGGGCTGTGGCTTGGCCTTAGGATAACTGGTTGAAGAAGTTTTACATTTGGGAATAGGAGAGAAGGGAAATGTTCATAAGTAAATTAATATGACTTTAAGTAAATTAAGACTAGATTATTGAGGGCTTTCCAAGCTGGGCAGATGAATTTCATCCAGTAGGTTTTATTTTTCTGTTTTTTTTTTGTTTTTGTTTTTTTTATTTAAGGTTTTTATTGTGGATTGAGTGAAAGTTTACAGGGCACATCATCAGTTTCACATTCCACCATTCATATAACTTGTTTCATTACATTGATTATAATCCCCTCCATATACCATCAGTTAAAA